CAACTCCTCCTTCATTAACCTTGGTACCTGACGTATAGTTTAGGTAGAAGCATCTAGTTGCAGTTAATGTCCCTAAGATGTCCAGCTCTTGTGGTTGAATGGGTAAAGCAGGAAAATTATGCATATATGCTAAAGACTTAATATACCAAGTAGCGTCTTTTCCGCTTTTAGCTCGCCACGATGCCTGGCACCACCAAAGAGGTTGTTGAGTTCCTGGATGCGTGCAGTTTGCTAACACAGTCTCATTATATAGAGTTCCCCACCGGAAGTTATCGATAGGTACTCCAACCAGACAGGTGCGAAAAGGACTCGTGGGAGTTACCATGGACACACATATCACGTCCGTCTTCGTCACATTGGCCAAGGTGGTCCACACATTGACATCCGAAACAGAAGTCAGCAAAGAAGCAAAGCATAGCTGATATCTACAATAAAACAGAAAGAAAAAAAAACTGTTAGGGGGCCCCCCCCCCCCCCTCCCCCCTTACATATTTAGTCCCGTCGTCGCAGCTGTTCTAATGGCACTCGGAGCCATTCAGAATTTCCAGGCACTGCAATAGTAACAGCATGTGACTGGTCAGTAGCAATAATTTCAGCTGCTACAGGACTCTGTCCTGGAGGGGTATACCACACTCTGTGTCCTATACCTCCAACTGCCACAGAGGGTGTTGGAGGTATGGATGCAACATATACTAACGAACAGAGTGGACCAGGGTGTAACACAACAGTATGATTAGCAGTGTTTTTAATACCCAGCAACACTGGCTTATGACCCTCTTGCACTGGATTTAACAATGTTAACCCTTTGGTTACTGCTCGTGGAGCCAAAGCAAGCAATTTCACAAGAGGTACTGATGGAGCCTTTAGCTGACAATCAGGTCGCTCCCACTTAACTTCTTGCGGCCCATAACTGTGTGAAGTTTTGTTGCTGAGCTCCAAAACTGTAGCTCCACCCACTATACCATACTGATCACCTGCTTGGTAAGATACCTTTGCATTAATATTTACTTTACACACTGTGGGAGTTTCTCTTTTCATTAGGAGCAAGGGAGTTGTGGTGGGGGTAAGTGCTCGGTTATTCAAAACTCGTACTGCCTCTGTTATATGATCCACCCACCGCGTGAATTTTCCTTCTCCCAATCGTTTCAGTTGTTGTTTGAGCAACCCATTCATACGCTCAATCAGTCCAGCCCCCTGAGGGTGATAAGGTAGGTGCCACACCCAATGCACTTGCCGCTCATCTGCCCATTTCTGCACCAGGTGGTTTTTAAAGTGTGACCCATTATCTGTCTGTATTTCCACTGGAGTCCCATAATAAGTCTCAATGGTGTCTAACATTCTAACAGTAGTGAATGCATTTGCATATCGGCTGGGAATAGCTACAAGAACTCCAGAGTATGTATCTACTGCGGTACAGACATATCGCTGCCTTCGGTGCTCAGGTAATGGCCCAATAAAGTCCAATTGCCATATCTCTGCACTATTCATTCCCTTTTTCAAGGATCCTAAGGGAATCACTTTTAACGCCTGCTGTTTGATTGTCTGACAAACTGAGCATTTCTGAATCACGTCAGACACAATGGTGGCAGATAAATGTACTCCTCTCTGTTTTCCCCAATAAATAGTGGCATCTCTTCCTCCATGTCCCGCTTTTTCATGGGCCCACAGTGCCAATGCTGTTTCTTCACTACTGTTTACAGTTCTTACTTGTTTAGTAAGTTTGTCTGCTAATTGATTACCAATATGTGTGGGAGTGGTGTTAGTGGTGTGAGCATCCACATGATATACCCATACATCCCGGCTTTGCAACAAGGCATAAATTTTCTCCCACCACTGTTGTCCCCAGACTATTTTGCTTCCAATTTTCCACTGCGCTTTTTTCCAAATGGGTAACCAATGAACTAGCCCCTGAGCTACGGCCCATGAATCAGTGTACACATAACATATAGTGTTTGGAGGTGTTGCCTCCAAGGCCTGCCATACTGCAACTAACTCAGCTAGTTGGCTACTACCTGACTCCCCTGTTGTGACCAGGCGTGTACCTGTCACGGGATTGATTGCAACTGCAGTCCACTTTCCTTGATGGGTACCACCACCATCTGTGAACCAGGCATTGCGTTTCTGTTCATCTGACAAATTTTCGTATGGCACTCCCCACCTCCCTAGCTGTATGTTTTGCATAAGCTGTTTTTCCTTTTCTTGAAGACTGGTATCCTCGACACTACTGCTTACTTGCTCATGTAGTGTGTGTAAGTTTCGAGTTCCAGCCTTTGCTCGTTCTTGAATGTACCACCTCATCTTTACTATTGTCTGCTCTTGTGCACTACCGATTTTGTTAGTTGCCGTAGGTCCTAGAGCCCAAGATACTACTGGAGATGGAGTCCTGACTATTACCTCATGTCCTGCTGTCCGATCCTCTGTGTCTAGCAGTCCCCAGTACACAGCAGCTAACTGTTTTTCGAAAGGCGTATATTTTTCCTCTGCCCCCCGAAATCGTCGGGACCAAAATCCAAGTGGCCTGCGTCGCCCATCTTGTAGTTGCCACAAACTCCATAGGGCAACATCTTGCTCTACTGACACTTGTAATTCAATGGGTCCTGCCTGAATGGGGTGCAATTCCATGTACTCCTGTATCAGATTTTTGGCTCCCTCAAATGCTGTCTGTTGCTCACTACCCCATTCAAACACAGCCTTTTTCCTTGTCACTCTGTGCAGTGGTTTCAATAAAATAGCTAACCCTGGTAAGTATGACCTCCAAAACCCAACGGCTCCCAGAAACTGCTGTGTTTCTCGTTTAGTTGTGGGTGTTGGCCATTCCTTTATGGCCTGCCTTATCTGTTCTGGTACTTCCTGTTTCCCAGCATGCCAGGTTATTCCTAGATACTTTACACTCGTAGCTGGCCCCTGTATCTTTTTAGGGTTAACAGCCCACCCATCCTTTTTCAGTGTGTCCACTACTTTCTCGAGGACTTCACCTGTCTCATGTTCTGTATTGCCATGAATTAGTATGTCATCTACATACTGGACTATTTGGACTGAGGGGTTCAAATTTGGAAGCTGCTTCAGGGTCCGATGTATGGCCTGGTGACAATAGGTTGGACTGTGTTTGTATCCCTGTGGAAGTCGTGTGAAGGTGTACTGAATACCCTTCCAGGTAAAAGCAAATTGATCCTGTGCTGCTTGTGGTATAGGAATGGTGAAAAAGGCATTAGCCACATCTATTACTGCATACCAATCACCTGGGTGCTTTTGAATTTCATGAACCAAGTCTGTAACAGCGGGTACAGCAGATGTGATTGGTGGAGTGACTTTGTTAACTCCTCTGTAATCTACGGTCATTCGCCATGACCCATCTGATTTTCTCACAGGCCATATGGGAGAGTTAAATGGAGAATGAGTGTACCTCACTACTTGTGCCTCAAGTAGTTCTTGGATTGTTGTCTGAATTTCCTCATCCCCACCTGGAATCTTGTACTGTTTAAGATTAACAATCTGCGTACAAATGGGAATGTTTGCCTCTTCCTGTATCTTTCCCACTTGGATTGCTCGAAAACGCCACCGCGTGGACCCAAATGACCACAGGGTGTTGTCAATCCATAAGTCCATTCCCCTAATAACATCAATCCCTATGATGTATTCAAATATTCTTGCTACCATTACTCTGTAAGGTTTTGGTGGATAATCTGCTATCTGTAATGTTATTTCAAGCATACGTCCCAAAACTGCTTGTTCCCCAAGACCCCATATAGGTGCTGGGTCCCCCTTATGTTTGTTAGGATTGCCGTGAACAATAGAGACCTCCGCCCCAGTGTCAACTAATGCTAGCACAGTTTGCTTGTTCTTAGTGGACCAATGTATTGTACAAGTGGTATAAGGTCGTTGATCCTTACGAACACGGCAAACAGCGGGGGACTGCACTGGAGCTTGGCCACACCCCTATTCGAGTTTATAATGTTCCTCGCACAGAGGAGCACTGGCCTTTATTGGCTCAACTTCTAAAGTTTCTGATCTTGGGTTACGGAATCGACTGACTGTCTCCTGCACCTCGGCCCAAGGATACAACTGTTCTTCCTGTGCAGTTCTGATTTGATGCTGTCGGGCTAATCTACGTAAAGTTTCTGTTGGCTGCCCATCAATATCCTCTCTGGGAACACCTTTTTTAAGTAAATCCTGAAATAACTTATTTCGTTCCCCTTTTCCTCCTTCCCGTCCTCTCCGACTCTCATTATTGTCCCGCCTATTTTCATGATTAGCTGGCTTATCGGTGGGGGGAAGGCCTGGAAGGTCACCAAGTTGCTGCAACCTCTCTATGATCTCTTCAATGGGAGCCCCCGCGTTAGACACTAACAGTGGGATAATGTATGGTTTCCAGGGTACAGGACAGCCTTCTAACAATTTGTTTCTCATTACAGGAATTAGAGGCTGTTGCATGTAAAGTTCAGGGCTCTGCAGCTCAATAGCTACCTTCATCCCTTCCCCCTTTAATATTTTGATTGCTTGATGAAGAGTTACCCAGGATGAACTTCCATCCTGCCATGATCCATCATTAGTAAAACGGTCACTGAGACCCTCAGCAATAACTGACACTAAAGTTCTATCAACTCCTGGTGTTCGCCTTAAACGCCGAAGGGCATTTTGTACATATACATCATTAGTCAACCCTAAAAACTTCGTGGCATCAACTTCGTCTATTATTACAGAGTCAGCCCCTTGCTCCATTAGCCTAACCATCCACATTTGTGCCCGTTCCCCAGGTTGCTGGGAATATTTGGATAAAAGCTTTTTAATATCCTCTGGGGAGAAATCAGCAACTTCATCCTGCCTCACTCGGTTACCCTGGTTATCTATCACAGCCTTCCGCCGTACAACAGGGGCTGCTCTTACTCTGTGTGCCAGTTTATCTGCTGTTGATAGCTTCTCTGAATTTTCTATAAAATTGTCCTCATCAGAATCATCACTACTACTCCATATGTTACCATCCCACTTCTCTGGATCCCAATCAGGGGAAGTGACTATAGCTCGCACCCGTGGCCCCTGATCACTTCGGTCTATTTTCTTTTGTCTGCGCCGAACAGTTCTCACAGCATATTTCTCAGCTAAAGTAACACATTTATCTTCTACCCTGTTCTTTTCAACTTGAAGGTCAAGTAAAGTCTGGTGCTGTACCAACTGAGTGGCTCTTACAGCATTCAGCTGCTCCTGC